AAACCACTGTTTTCCTTTTGCTGATCCTTTTCCTCCAAAAGACTCCTCTTCTCTTTTGTGCCACGTGGACTCCATCATGCTCTTGGTCCCTTGCCATTCCCGTCAGACCTCTTCTCTCTCTGAGCGACATTTATTTTTCCCTCCCTCTCTCTCTCTCCCTTTCTCCCTCCCTCCCCTCTCCCTCTGTCTCTCAATGCACCATATCTTATGTGCCAGCTGCAGAAGCCCTGGGCTGGCTTTCCACCTTGGCTGGTGTGAAGACTGCAGCAGTAAGAATGGCTGTGTAGGTATGTTGTCTAGCAGTCCTTCAGGCGCACACCGTGGAGTGGTATAGCTAGGTCATACAGGATTTCTGTTGGTAGCTCTTTGAGGAACTTCCACAACTGTATCCCATAGTATTCCACTGTAGAACCCGGTGGCCTGGGTTTCTATTCCTGCCAGCACTATTGGTGTTCCCCTTTCTCCAACTCCTTGTCAGTGTTTGTTGTCTTATTTTTTTTTTAAATTTGTGTATTCTTATTTTATGTACATGAGTGTTTTTCCTGCATATGAGCATCATTGTGTGTCCCTGATGCCTGGGGAAGTTAGAAGAGCATGTCAGAGCCCCTGAAACTGGAGACACGGATGCTTGTGAGCCACCCTGTAGGTGCTGAGAACAACTCAGATATTCTGCAAGAACAAGGGCTTTTCACTACTGAGCCATTTCTCCAGCCCCACACTGTTTGTTTGTTTGTTTGTTTGTTTGTCCCCCTTGATTAGAGCCATTCTGAACAGGATCAGATGAAATCTCAATGACATTTCCTTGATAGCAAAGGATGTTGAACACTTCAATTTTTAATTGGCCATTTGTATTTAATCCATCGAGAACTGTCCATCTAATTGTTAGTTCACTTACTGAGTGGATCTTTTGGATTAAAAATTTCAAGTTCTAGAGTTGGATGTGTATCTGACAAAGACTTCCCCCTGTTCTGTAGGCATCTTTGCTTTGACAATGTGTCTCCTTGCTGTGTAGAACTTCTGTGATTTCCTGTAATCCCATTAAAAATTCCTGGATTTATTTTCTGTGCTATTATCTAGATTTTACCCAGAAACTCTAGAGTTGTAGGTATTGCATTAAGATCTTTTCTTTATTTGTAATTGATTTTTGTACAGCATAAGAGATATAGGCCTAGTTTAGGTCTTTCACACATTTTTTTTTTTTCTCATCAGCATTTGTTGAAGAGGCTTTCTTCCCAATGTACTTTTTTTTTTTTTTTTACAGCTTTGTCAAAATTTATGCAGCTATCAGCCATGTTTGTTTCTGTGTCCTCTATTTCATTCCACTGGCCTTTGTGTCTGTTCTAGTGTCTGTGCCAGGCTGATTTTGTCACTGTGGCTCTGCAGTATGGTTTGGGATCAGGTGTTACATCTCTGGAGTTGTTCTCACTGCTTAGGATTGACTTGTCTATTTGGAATCTTCTGTGCTTTTACGTGAATTTTTAGAATTCCTTTTCTGTTTTTTTTTTTTAATAGAATATCACTGGATTTTTAAAGGAAATTGTGTTTTATCTGTAGACTGTATTCAGCAATATAGTAATTGTCACAACATTCATTTGGACAATCCACGAGAACAAGATGTGTTTCTGCCTTCTGTTGTCTTTAATTCCTTCAGTGTTTTAAAGCTTTTATTGTGCAGATTCCTTACATCCTTGGTTGGGCTCATTCCTAGCCTTATTTTAAGGTTTGTGGAACTTTTGTGAAAGTTTTCTCCCCTGAATTTTTTTTTTCAGTGTGTAGAAAGCCTCAGATTTTCACATGTTAGTTTTGTATCTTGCTGCTTTGATGAAAGTCTTCATTAGGTCTGAGAGTTTTTATTAGGGTCTTTTATAAATAGGATCAAGTCATTTGCTAATAGAGATGCTTGGGTGTCTTCCTTTCCTGTGTGTATCTCTTTTGTTTATTTTTCTTATCTTATTGCTCCATCTAAGACTTAGAGCACAGTTTTGAATGAGAGATATGACAGTGGGCATCTTTGTCTTATTCCTGATTTTAGAGGAAATGCTTTCGGTTTTCTCTTTAGTACGATGTTATCTATTGGCTTGCTGTATACAGCCTTTATTGTATTGAGCTATGTTCACTATATTAGTTTCTTCGGGGATTTGAACAGGATTATGAATAGACAATAAACTTTATCAAAAGTGTTTCCTAGGGTCTGGAGAGATGTTTCAATGATTAAGAGTACTTGATTTTGCAGAGGACCTGGGTTTGATTCCCAGCACACACATGGCAGCTCACAACAGTCCATAACTCCAGTTCCAGGGGATTCAATACCTTCTTCTGATCTCTGTAGCCACCAGGCACACACATGATACATAAACATACATGTAAGTAAAACCTCATATACATAAAACAAGTAAATATGAAACTATTTTAAATGCTTTCTGTATTAACTGCCATGACTGAAATTCTTGCCTTTAAGTTTATTTATGTATCATAGTATATTTATTGATTTGTGTATGTTGAACCAGCCTTGCATCCCTGAAATGACAGCAACTTGATAATTACCTTAATATGTATTCTTGGAAAGATCTCCCATGCTCATGGCTTGGCAGGATTAACATAGTAAAAATGGCCATCTTACCAAAAGCAATCTACAGATTCAATGCAATTCCCATCAAATTACCAGCACAATTCTTTATAGACTTTGAAAGAAAAATTCTCAACTTCATATGGAATAACAAGAAATCCAGAATAGCTAAAACAGTCCTCTAAAATAAAAGATCTTCTGGAGGTATCTCCATCCCTGATCTCAAGCTGTACTATAGAGCAACAGTTATAAAAACTGCATGGTACTGGCATAGAAACAGAATGGGGGATCAATGGAACTGAACAAAAGACCCTGAAATAAACCCACACACTTATGGACACCTGATTTTTGACAAAGATGCCAAAACCATACAATGGAAAAATGAAAGCATCTTCAACAAATGGTGCTGGTCCAACTGGATAGCTCATGTAGAAAAATGCAAATAGATCCATATTCTTGAAATTGTTTTGTAAGAATTTTTCTGAAGAATTTTTAAATTTTATCTATTGTTTTATTAATTACAGTTTATTTGCTTTGTATCTGAGCCCCCTCCCCTCCCAGTCCCACCCTCCTTCCATCATCTTCTCTCATGCCCCTCCCCAAGTCCACTGATAGGGGAGGTCCTTCTCCCCTTCCCTCTGATCCTAGTCTATCAGTTCTCATCAGGACTGGCTGCATTGTCTTCTTCTGTGGCCTGGTAAGGCTGTACCCCCTCAGGGGGAGGTGATCAAAGAGCAGGCACCTGAGTTCATGTCAGAGACAGGATTCCATATTCTTTGCTAACATGGATCTATCACTAGATATGATCAGAATTTTACTGCTGACTGTTAGGTAATTCACCCCATGGACACCCTTGAGCACATATCTGGGGGAAAGAAAAACTCCTCCAAGAAAGATGTTGTCAAATGGGGTGCTCATGAATACATTTCAGAGGCATATTGCAGAATGCCAAATTTCTTTTCAGAAAGCAACAGTTGGAGGAGCACTGGGTGCCGTAAAGACTGAGTGGAAGTCAGCAGTGAACCCATTTGGTCCCGGGCTTTTCTCTTTGGGAGGCTTCTTATGGATTCAGTCTCATTGATATGGCTCCGTTCAAGTTGTTTGCATTCTCTTGGTTTAATTTTGGTATAGCACCTGTGTCTTTCAGGGTTTTTGAATATAGGTTTTCAGTCATTGTCCTAATGATTCTCCTAATATTGCAATCTGCTGTGACAGCCACATTTCATCTCTGAGTTTTCTTACTTAGGGTCTTTTCTCCTGTTTGGTTAATTTGGCTAGTGGTTTTGTTGATTTTTGTTTATTTTTCGAAGAACTAACTCTTCATTTGATTGATTATTTGCATATTTTCTTGTAGTCTCCATTTCATTAATTTCTACCTGAATATTTACTATTTATTTAAATCTACTGCTTTGGGGTTTGATTTGTCCTTGTTTTTCTATGACCTTGAGACACATCCTTAGGTGACTTATATCAGGTCTGGCTGGCAATTTAATGTAAGTATGTGTAGACATCAGCTTTCCTCTTAAGATTTTCTTAACTATATTTTGGAGGTTCTGATAAGTTGTACCTTCGTTTTCATTTGTTTCTAAGAATTTTTAAATTATTTCTTGATTTCTTCAATGATTTAATAAGTCATTCAAGAGTTTATTGTTGGTCTCAAAATATTTCTATAGTTTTTTCTGTTAATTATTTCTACTTTTATTCCACTGTAGCCTGATAAAATTAAGAATGATTTGTTAAGACTTCCTGGACAGAAAGAGCTGGCTCAGCAGTTAAGAGTACTGGCTGCTCTTCCAGAGGTCCTGAGTTCAATTCCCACCACTCAGGTGGCAGCTCATAACCATTTGTAACTTCAGTCACAGAGAAGCCAATGCCAACTTCCGGCTCTCTCAGGCACCAGGCATGCATGTGGTACACAGACACACATGCAGACAAAATATCCATACATGTAAATCCAAATAAGTACGTATAGAAATACTTCCTTTGTGAGCTAGAACGTGATCTATTTCAGAGAAGTTTGCATGTGCTGCTGAGAAGCATAGATTCTTAGCTGTTGGATGGAATATTCTGCACATATCTGTTAAGTTCACTTGACCTATGATGTAGTTTAACCCTTAAGTTTCTTTGTTGATTTTTATTTTGCATAAACTGTATAAAGACAAGAGTAGGGTACTGATTGCCTACTGTTATTTTATCAGGACAATGTGATGTTTTGTGCCCATTAGTGTTTATTTTTATAAAATTAGAAAGCACAAGTTTTGGGGCTTACATATTCACAATTGTGTTATCTTCATGATGAAGCATTCCCTTTATTAGTAGTGGCTTTCTTTATACTGATTTTATACTGACTAATTCTGGACTTAAGTCTACTTTATTAAATGTTAGAATAGCTGTGCCAGTGTGGTGATCAGTATTAATTTTGTCGGCTTAACAGGATAACCTAGGAGAGGAGGACTTGCTTGATTGCTTTGAGACGAGAAGCCCTGTGCTGTATGTGATGCCATTCCCTTGGCTGAGATGTTGGACCACGTAAAGCGGAGAATGAGAGCCACGCAGGATGCCTGCATCCATTGCCCTCTCCTGTTGACTATCGACGTCGTGTGACCAGCTGCTTCAAGCTCCTACTTCCTCCAGTTTCCACCATGATGGACTGTATCTCGACCTGTGAGCCAAAATAAACATGGTTTCCCTTAAGTTGCTTTGTCAGGACATTTTATCACAGCGATGGGAGAAAAAAGAAAAAAAACTAAGAGACATCCTGTTTTTGCCTTCTGTTTGCTTAGTTAATGGACTCTAGCCTTTGAGTCCTAGTCTCTGGATGTCCTTGCCAGTCAGATATATTTCTTGGAGACAATAGATGGGTGTAGCCTTCTGTTCAATCTACCTAGCCAGTCTGTGACTCTACTAGTAAATTGAGTCCCTGTGTATTTAAGGGTTTTATTGAGATACTTTTTTTTTAATTTCCTGTAATTTTGTTCGCTCTTTCTTTGGTTGGTTGGGTCATACCTTATAGCCCTCCCCCTTCTCACTAGAGTCTGTTTTCTGTGTCTTGACTGCTCAGTCTTCTTTGGGTCACTTGGAAGTAACCCCCAGGCTCTAATCTGCCATCTTACCTAGATGCCGATATGTTCTTACTTCAAGAGATTGTTTTTCTGTATGTTATCACTTAATTCACAAGGAATTTATTGAGATATAAGATAAGACATTAATATCACTCGGTCCAAAATTTCAAACAATGTTCTTACATCACTTATCTAAGACATATCCATCTCCAGTAACTTACGACAACCATTTTATAAAGCATGCACTAATAATGTGACATAAGATCTGGTTACAGGTCCTTGGCTGTTTCCTTTATCTTTCTGTTTCACACTACCTCTGGAAATGCATCTCTAAGTCACTTTAGCTTTGTGTATGTGTGTGTGTGTGTGTGTGTGTGTGTGTGTGTGTGCGTATGTGTGTGTGTGTGCATGCTCGGAGTCCAGAGGACAACTGTGGCTGTTCTCCTAGGTTGCCATGCACATTCTTTTTGGAAACAGTTTCTTTCACTGCTCTGCAGCTCACTGAGTAGGCAAGAATGGCTGGTCTGTGAGCCCCAGGGAGCTGCCTATCATCTCCATGGGGCTTAAAATACTTGTTCAGCTTTTCTGAGAGATGGAGCTTAGCCATCATGCTTGCACAGTAAATATTTTACCCGTGAGCTATCATTCCAGCCCCAAATCATCTTAACTTGAAAATAGCTTTCAAATCTGACAGGAGAAATCTTTTGTAGAAAAGATCAATATTTTCCTTATCACTGTTTATTCTTAATCATGCAATTTTCCAGATAAATATTATGCTTTGTTCAGTTAAAAAAAATCCTAGCAATAGGGGCTTGGAAGATGGCTCAGTGCACTGCAGAGGGCCTGGACGGCTCCCAGCATCCTTTATGCAGCTCTGGGAGGGGAAGGGGGCTCTGGTGTCTTCAGGTACCTGTAACTCATGTGCACATGTAAGGTTTATGTGAATATTCACATATTGAAGTGTATTGTGCGTGTGTTCTATACTATTTTGTTATAATTTTTCTGGCCACTAGTTTCTTACTACGTCTGTTTACTTTGTGGTGTGTGGGTGTGCATGTGTTCTGTCTGGGCATGCACTGGCCTAGCATGCATGTGGAATTAGAGGACAGCTTGCGGGAGCTCTTACGACCCTTCCACCGTGCGGACCCTGGGAATTAACTTCAGTTTGTTGGGCTTTTCGAGCACCTTTAACCATGGAGCCAGCTCACCAGACCCCCATTTTCTGTTTTCCTATTGTAGCTGGGAACTTGAGGTATTCGTACTGATCTTTGTGGGTTTCTAGAACATAGGGTAATATCTAAGACTCTCCTGCTGGATTATCGTTCATTATGATATGTCCCTGTCATCTTTACTTGGTTTTTGTGTGTCTTCCTTAATCAATAGCCATGGGGTAGACCCAGCCTCTTAATTTGTAATGCTACTCCCTATGAGATGCTGAGCTGCACAGAGGGAGAGCGTGGATCCCAAACTTCCAAAACACCCACATTTTGCTTTAATGCTAGAACCATAGATAGAATGAAGCAGAGCCATGGCCAGACCCTCACTGAGGGAGAAATGAGCATTAGTACCGCATTGTGACATATAGTCATCAAAATTCCAGCACCACAGCAGTTTTCCCCTTTTGTGATCTGTAATTCACCCCATAAATGATCTCCACAGAACCTTCTTTTGTCACAGACCGGCATGGTTTGTTTCAGATGAAGGCAGAAACAGAGGGCTGACCAACCCCCTGAGTTGTTTTCCTAGGCTGTTTGCTGAGGGTGTGTTTTTAAACAAAAATTCTTTAAAGTGGTGTGCAAACATATAGAAAGATAAGGCTTTCATCCAGTCCCCTGCGGGGAGCCAGCTTTACAAAGTATGTGCTGTGAGCCCAGAGGTGAGAGTTCAATGACACAGACCCCTCCACCACCAGCTTGAGATGCTTTTGCGCTCCTCAGCTGTTTTCGCTGATGTTGTAACTTGAACGCTCTCTAGGGACAATGCCCGGGGTATGGAAAGCAGCTGAGTCCCCTGGTTCCCATGCAACCAACCCACTGCACTCCAGGACTGTTCTCTTCTGAACCTCCAGAGTTCCTACCGGGGTGACAGGGCATGCAGGCTCCATCTGTACAAAAATAAAAATTAAAATAAAAAAACAGTAATTAAACAAAAAAAAATGCATAAGGAGTCCGAGATGGAGAGTTAGGAATGGAAAGCCTCATTCCATAGGTCAGAAACTTCACAATCGCACAGCATGGCCCTGCACGCCCTGAGAAACAGTATGGCCCACACATCTGCGGACACAGCATGACCTTTCACACCTGCCAACCCTGCCCCTGCACACTTTCACACATCATGGCTACACAGTCATAGATGTCACGGCCCTATGGATACCCTGAATTTGGACTTTTAGTGACCTAGTTTATCGTAAATTATTAGGCCAGTTTAAACTTCAGCCTGGCTTTTTAATTATTTTTTTTTCTGGGAAAGAAAACCCGCTTTCTCTTCATTAGTGAGCCCGCCCTGAAGGATTAGGAGAAGAACACGGGAAAGGAGAGAAGAGACTACGAGGAAAGGTCCTGGGGCTGAAGGTATTAATGGCTTTATTCCAGCCACGGGTGGGTGCTCAAAGGGACATTTGTAACACATCCTTGCATCATGGACTGCTAAGAGGGGGGGTCAAGAAACAGTGGGCAGCGCAGCTCTGGATGAATTGCTCTGAATCCTCAATAGACTCCCTTCCATGGGATGCTCCAGATTAACAAGGACAGAATGCTTTGGGAAGTGCCTGTCACCTCCTGGACCTCCATCTTCTGGAAGAGCGAGGTTTCTGGCTTCATATGGCTGCACAGCAAGGTCCTCAGGGTCTGGGATCCCCACAGGAAGTGCACCCACCTTCTGCACTCTACCCCTCCCTGACACCATCCCACCTCCTTGTGACAAGGCACCCTTGTTGCTCCATCTGTTATCAGGCTCTAGGGAGTTGTGGGAAGACTCACAGCTTCGTTAGAGGACAGAGGCAAAGCCTTTGCAAGCATGAGAGTCTCAGTTTGCATCTCCAGATCCCAGACACAAAGCAGAGCGTGGCAGTCTGTGCTTGTAATCCCCTGGATGCAGAGATGGAGGCAGAGATGGGGTGACCTCTGGAGCTCTCTGACCAGCTAGCTTTGCTGCTCGATTAAGGCCAGTGAGAGACTGTCTCAAACAGAAGTTAGAAGACATGAGAAGAATGACCACCAAGGTTGTTGTCCTCTGACTAACACACACACACACATGAATGTGTGCATGCACACACATGAAAATGTATTTATCACAATAAGGGCAATATTTAAAGATAATATCACTTAAAGGAGTGCCTGAGGACAGCGTTAGCTAGAAGAACAAAACTGGGAACAGAGCCACGAACACCGTTCAACACCATGTCTTTTTCTCCTTGTGGACTCTTCTCTCCTTCCGTTTTCCTCCCTCAAAATCCCTCTGGGCTTGCTGTTGGAGGGGAAAGACCAAGTTTCAGAAAAATAAAACAAAACAGTCTTAGCAAACTGGAAAGCTGACAGTAGGGGTAAAGGCGCTGAAGAGAAAGGATCAGGAGGCAGGAAACAACACAGCACCATGCACCGTGGGATGCAAAAAATCAGAAGACCCCACTCCACCACTGCCTGGGGGGAGAGGCTTCCACCCACATGGCTCACCCAGGTGAGCCTTGAGTGCCCGTCCCAGCAGGCAGGGTTCAATGCACAGTGGGCATTGTGAACTGTTCGTGTTTGTCCAGAGAGGCTTGTAAGAAATAGAAATCCAAACTCAGGAAAGTAGATATCTAGAAAAACAAATGACCCAATTAAATAATAGGGCACATATCTGAACAGAGAATTTCCAAACTCAAATGGCTGAGAAGCACTTAAAGAAATTTTCAGCATCCTTAGCTTTAACATCAGGAAATACAAATCCAAACGACTTGGAGATTCTAACTTACACCTGTCAGAATGGCTAAGATCAAAAACACAAGTGACAGCATATGCCCACAAGGATGTGAAAGAAGGGGAACCCTCCTCCACTGCTGATGGGAGTGCAAATTTGTATAACCACATTAGAAATCAAGATGATGGCTCCTCAGAAAATTGGGAACCAATCTACCTCAAGACTCAGTTATAACACTGTTGAGCACATATCCTAAGGAGATTCCACCCTGCCACAGGGACACTTACTCAACTACATTCATGGAAGGTTTGTTCATAATACTCAGAAACTGGAAACAACCTGGATGTTGCTCAACCAAAGACTGAATAAAGAAAATGTGGCACATTTATACACTGGGGTATAACTCAGCTGTTTAAAAAATGACATCATGAAATTTGCAGACAAATGGATAGAACTAAAAAAAAAATATATATTCTGAGTGAGATAACCCAGAACCAAAGAGACAAATATGTTGTGTATTCACTTATAAGTGAATATTAGCCATTATGAAAATGATGACCAAGCTACAATCATTAGGCCCAGAAAGGTTAGGGAACAGGGGGCTTTGAGGGGACATGGATTCCTTGGGAAGGGGAAATAGAATAGACTTTACAAGTGGACCAGGGGCCTGTGGGGAATGGGAGTGAGAAGAATTGTAGAGGGGGTGGAATGCAATGGAGGGAGAGAGTGTGGAGA